CGTGTGTTAGTGTGCATGAAGCAATATTAGTGTTTAAAATATTTTGTTAAATCTATTAGCGACAGACGAGAGCAATTGCTTTGGTATTTCATCGTTAACTGGGGAAATCTACGTGTCACGTGAACTTAGTGAAGAAAACCATGGACCAACCAATTTAACAGTTATGGTGAGCACGTAATGGGTTTCTTACAATATAAAAACTACGCGTGGACACATATACACGATGCATTCTCGGCGGTTTTCCGTTTGCAACAAATAAGTGAGATCCTCCGAAAATCACGTAGTTTGCTACAGCTTCGTGCGAGACCGCTGAAAAATAGTTCCGATTACATCACCATAATATTCAAGTTTTGATTATGAAATACCGTAACTAATTAAATTAACATAAACTACACTAACTTACGGGGCGTTTCGAATCGGCATCCGCGTTATTCGATGCAGATAGAATCGAGATTATAATTTTGTTTTACAGGCGATTGAAATCGACCCAACACAAGTCATTACAGAGAGGTCGACCACAACAGTGGTAGAATTAAAGATAATCCCGGGTATAATTGTGAGTGAATATGTCATTATTGTTTTGTATAATTCCGCCATTAAATCATTGCATTTGAACCATACATAGTCTTTATTCTGTGTGTTCATGTCGATAATTTATTTGATAATCAGTTGCACGAATTGATGATCGTATCAGATTGTATGTTCAGTTATTGATAACAATAAATTTGAAAAAAAACAAACAATTCTTTAAGCAATCTTATTTCTTTCATATTAGTATATTAAAACAATATGTTTATTATACGAACATTTTAACTCTTCTTTGTTAATATATGCGCTTGACGATTATAAGTGTATGGGTATACAATTCACGTACCGCGTGACCATCGGTACGTGGCCAAATATTTCGAATAGATGGATGCTCCTCTTACTGTGATGTATTTAATAACAACTAGCATTAATGTTTGAAAAACTTTGAAATACATTTCATATATTCTTATATTTTACGCGTTAAATTCACCTCGAAGCTAATGCCATAGCTGTACTTGTGCTAACCTAACTAACGCAAACTGTTGGGTATTTACAGGTAACAGTTACACCAGAGCCAGATACAATGTCGGGGACGTACATTGGCGGCATGACTGCATTAATCGTAGTGGCTGTTGTTGGTCTATGTATTTTATTGTTCTGCGTGTATAACATTAAACAAGACGCAATGTAAGTAATTCAGTTCATGTATTGTAGACGTCTCAGTTGAAATACTGTTATTAAGTTATTAATCGTCGACTTACCCAGACAAAAAAATGTCATTGTTTACTGAAGTATACTTACTTTTCAGGGATCCAAAGCCTGTATATTCAACAAAAAATCAGATTACACCTGCTCCCAATGAGCCCAGTCCTGAAGAAATAAAAAACAACTATTATAAAACAAGTGGTGTATCTGAGGCGTAAGCCAGCTGGGCGGAGTTCAACGCATCAAAGGAATACTAATGTCACTGTGGAGCCATTCCAACAATTATTCAGTGGATGGGTTTACTTTGAAACAATGCAAAATTATTACTATATTTCCGTCCATTATAAATTGATTGTATATTGTCGTCCGAATAGACATTGAACTCGCTAAAAATGAGGATCACACATTAGTCAACTGTTTTTCAAACAAGTAACCAGATTCTCTTGCCCTTTCGAACCAAAATGTGTCCAAACCATTAAATATGTAATTTTTTTGAGCAATCAGCATTGTGTCAAATCATATCATTGTTTGATATCAATGATATTTATTTTATTGATTACTTATGAAATACACCTTCACTAATACTCCTTTGGAAGTTGCCATAAAAGTATATGTCCCCTTTTAATTGTATTTTATATATGACAGCAGCTCGCTAACATTTCTCATGCGTCTGGCCGTATTGGTACCCCTCTTTACATCCTCACATTTTGTATGCAGATGTATTGGTGCTTTATTATTTTTGAATAATGAATATTCATGTTTCTGAATGAAATTAAGTTGGAGGTTTTTATATTATTTTAAATATGTTAGTTTATTTATTTCTATTACGACAAAGCAAATATATGAGTGAACCAAGCAATACATTGAGAAAGTGAAATAAACATATAAAATATGGTAAATCTTTTATCTTTGTTTGTAATCCAATTTAATTTAATTCAACATATTGTTAAAACGAGTAAGCGGCAAATAACTGATTATAAAGTTGATTACAGTCCTCATGCATTACAATTGAGCAGTTACTTTACATATTAAATTACCCTATTAGCAATACAGTTCCAATACTAGAAACCTGCTTTCTTCTAAATACGCATGCTCCGTGGTAATGTTAATAATACTGTATTTATAATCTACTTTAGACGCAAATGACATCCGACATCTCGTTGAAAGAGAGTTTTTGCCCTCAGATAGTGTCACGTCCACTGATCCTACGGTCAATATGCTACCATGATTTTTGGAACAGTGGATGCAACGACAGGATTGAATGGAACACTATTTGAGGGGGTAACGTGATCTCAAAGAAATTTTAGCGACTATTACGTACAAGTTTTAATTGTGATATGCTATCTATATCATTATAACTTACTGCCACTGTACAGT